CTAAATTCTCTTATTCCGTGTCCTACTTGGCTGATAATGTACAAACGTAAACAACTTCCAATGTCTGAGGCACCTCTGTTTCCGACTACCTCATTCCACATGTAACAATTGCACTCTTTTGTTGCTAGGTTGAACACAGTAAAGTTGTAAGTTGATAATTTTAATTTGTAATAGGCCAACATTAGATTTGGAAACTGGTAACACTTGTTGCAAGTCAAAGACAGCGCAACAAACCTCACTGCTATTCTCAGCTGCTATTTGTTTCTCAAACTGTTTGATTTCTCTTGCCCTATTTTTACTTAGGATATGGATGCGATAATCTTCTTCCAACTCTAATTTTTCTTCTGGAGAACTATTATCGTATTTTGGCAACCTGGCAGCATGCTACATAACGAAAACATGTCTAGTGAAAAATGCATAAAATGCAACAAAAAAGCCGCAAAAAATAGTTATAAGTGTGTGAAATGCGAAAATGTGGTTCATCAAAAGTGTGCAGATGAAGAAATACCCAGAGATAGTGATTTTGTATGTGAAAATTGCCTGGAAAACAACTCGTTAAACAGTTCAGTGACGTCGGAGAATGGCACTATTATTCTGAGCGAGGAACGTAAGACACAGAATGAAGTTGTAATAAGCGATCTTATGAAAGAAAATGATCGATTGTTACGTGAAAATGAACTTCTTAATAAACTCGTAAGTGAAATGACCGACAAAAACAATTTATTGCTGTTCAAAATTGCTATCTTGGAGAAAAACAATAATACTTTGGAAAAACCATGGCAACACCGAAATTCAAGTAAAAATTCAGACGCTCCAACTCAAGTGCCACCTAGCACGCATACCGCAAACCACACCACTCAAAATCATACAGCGCCACCTCACGACGTAGCCAAAAGTCGTCGTACTCGCCGCACATCCACCAGATCAACCTCCGTGTCGCCGCCAGTGCTGCCATCTCCTGGTACCAGTGACAACCACCAAGAAATTAATAAGGTTAGGGAAAATAACAAGGTACTGAGCATCGTAGGTGAAGTTGAGCCTACACTAAGCACCGCCGGAGCCGAAAACGGTCTTCAAGGACTTTCAGTTCTAAAGGTAGCAACCCCTACAACTCGCCTGCACCTATCGAACCTAGACGTCAACACAACTGAAGAAATGGTTACGAAATACTTAAATCATCTGTCGACGTCGAACTATTTAGTTGAAAAGTTAAACACAGGAGGAAGTTTTAGCTCGTTTCGTTTAACAGTACCAAACACCGTATTAGATACCATAATGAAGCCCCAAAATTGGAACTCTGGCGTCCGTCTCAAGACGTGGATCTATAGAAGGCCTTCCGGATACGTAAATCGTGACTGGAGGCACAGCCAAAATAAGCGGTATCCTAGCCACAACTCCCAAAAACAAAATAATATAAATAATAGAGACAATAATAATGTTAAACATTCTTTTTAAACGTTCTTGACAACCAAACATGTAAAATTGCTCAAAGAGTTAGCGTTTTTCACTTAAACATTCAATGTTTATCAAATAAAATTGACGAGTTATCCTGTTATTTAGGTGACACAAATTCTGATGCTGAACTTTTATGCCTCTCTGAACACTGGTTGTGTGAATCAACTAAAAACGGTTCATATACCAAATTTTAATTTATGCTCTTGGTTTTGTAGGTCAGATCATGCTCATGGGGGTGTTGCCATTTTTGTTTTGGATAATCTTAGAAGTTCTTTTATCCCTGTCGATCTGAAGCCTTATACCACCGAGCTGTCATTGGAATGCTGTGCTGTAGAATTAGTAACAAACAAAGCAATATTCATAACATTATATCGAACAGGTAAATCTTGTTTTTATGATTTTCTTCAAGGTTTTGAGGCATTACTCACTTATATCAGCCCTAAGTATAACATTATAGTCATATCTGGAGATTTTAATACCGACTTCTGTAACAATTCATTACAATTGCAAGACCTCAAGTATTTAATAAAGACTTTTGGATTAAAAACAACAATTATAGATTATACGAGAGTGACCAACACAAGTACAACTTGCATAGATAATATTTTGACAAATTTAGACGAGTCTGAATATACAGTTTCTGTAACAGATCCCTGTCTCTCAGACCACTATGCCCAAAGTATGCTTGTACATTTAAATTCTATTAAAAAAGAAAATATTGTTCATACTAGGAAAATCACAAACGCTAGCCTAAATCATTTAAATCTCTCGTTATCCAACATAGATTGGACAAAATATTATGTCAATCATGATGTGATTAGTCTCTCTTCTTTTCTCGTAGAATCAATAAATGAACTTAAAGATTTATATTTCCCATTACAAAAGCAAAAGCAACATTTTCAGAGACAGCCAGTAAAATGGTTTAATAGTGAACTTAAGACTGCTAGGTCCTCTCTTCAGGTTCTAAAAACAATATCGGAGCATCAAAAAGACGAACAGTCAAAAAATGCCTTTAAAACCTTTCAGAGACAATACAGACAAAAAATTAGACATGCTAAATATAGTGCATATAATAATTTTATTCATTCATCGGAAAATAAAAGTAGGGACTGTTGGAGGCTAGTCAATTTTGAAAGAAATAAATCCAAACCAATGACATTAACTGATATCACATCAGACATGTTTAACGACTTTTTTGTATCCGCAGCCAAAAATATAATAACAAGCCTACCTAATCTTAATATTAATGAGCTAAATACCATAAATTTTAATAAGTGTAATAAAACCTTTTTTCTGGAGCCTGTTACATATCTAGATGTTTTGAATGCTATTGGTGAATTAAAAAATAAGCAATCTCTTGATATTTATGACCTAAACAGCAAAGTAATAAAACACTGTGCAAATACTCTTGCCACACCACTTGCTCATCTATATAACTCCTGTCTTTCTCAGGGAATATTCCCTGATGTTTTTAAGATTAGTAAGGTAGTACCAGTTTTTAAAAAAGGTGACCAATCTGATGTAAACAATTTTAGACCCATTTCCATAATTCCTATCTTTGGCAAAATTTTAGAAATAATTTTAAAGCACCGCCTTCTAAAATTTCTAAAAATAAATAACATCATTAATCCAAAACAATTTGGTTTTCAGCCAGGTCTGTCAACCATAAATGCACTAGCGGAACTTATTGACCACATAGTCCAGGGCCTTGAAGGGGGAAGAAGTGTACAAATTACCCTTTGTGACCTTAGCAGGGCCTTTGACTGTGTGGATCATGAGAAGCTGCTGTGTAAAATGGAGCATTATTATGGTTTTCGTGGGGTGTCTCTGTGCTTTTTTAGATCATATCTGACTGGAAGATCTCAGCTCGTTAGTAGTAATAATAAACATTCAGAAATTAAAGGTGTAAATTATGGTGTCCCTCAGGGATCCATACTTGGACCAATACTTTTTTCCCTTTACATTAATGATCTTTATTACTACTTATTACCAGATATTTGTGTATTGTACGCAGATGACACCACCCTTATAAAGAGTCACAAAAATCTTCATATATTACAAAGCTTATCTAAACAGCTTGAAGAAAAGGCAAACAACTGGTTTAAACAGAATAGCTTATGCCTAAACTCAGACAAAACTAACAGGCTAGTAGTAACTAGTAACTCTTCTCTTGCAGAAAACAAATGTGTAAAATTGCTTGGCATAACAATTGATAGCTCACTAAAATGGACAAAGCACATTGAAACCCTATGTAGCAAATTAGCCACAAACATATTCTTACTACGCAGACTAAAAACTTGCATTAGTAATGAATGCCTTGTTAGTGTTTATTACTCCCTCATCGTCTCTCACATTCAATATGGCTTATTAATCTGGGGAAATTCTACCCATATAAATAGAGTCTTTATATTACAAAAAAAAGCAATTAGAATTCTTGCGGGAGCTGGTTATCGTGACCACTGTAGGCCACTCTTTATAAAATTAAATATGCTTACAATTTATTCAATGTACATCTATCAGAGCCTTGTTGAGATTCATAAGAACAAGCATAAATTCTCAATGCACTCGGATGTTCATGGATATAACACCAGGCATTCCAATCTACTTCAACCTAGCGCTCACAGGCTAAAGATCTCAGATAAAAACTCACTTGATGTTAGGGTATATAACAAGCTAAAAAACACTACTAAGAATCTTACCTTAAAACATTTTAAAAATACACTTTGGCAAGAATTAGTTAAACATCCTTTTTATTCCTTGAATGAGTTTATCGCGACCCCCCTATGTGTGTGATCTGGCCTACTACACCTTTATATTATATTATATTTTATTTTATTTTTACCAATTATAGTTTTATATGTATTGTCATCAGTAATTTTCATGACAAGTGTAAAAACAAATGTTTTGTTAATTGGCACGTAATATATATATTCATATTTGTGGCAAATATCGCAGAGATCCTTTTTGGGCTGAAAGAAGGATAGATTGAAATCCCTATTAAAGATTGTTCTATACATTGCTTCAGTTACTGTTTTCGTAATATTATTTTCCTCACAATACACCAGGTACATGGTATACATCTTGCTTACGTTAAGTGTTGGGGGTAAATATTTACGACTGGTCGCTTGTCTACAGTAGTGACTTTCAATTGTCTCAAATAAGTTTATGTGATCCCTGACATTTCGTTTAGTAGACTCGTCAATGTTTTTACAAGCTTTTCCTCGTCTGTCTTCGGAAACAATACCTGCAGTTCCAGTTTTGTTCATAACTGTTTTGACTACCTGTGCACTAATTGACAGTGTATTTAGAAAAAAAGTTTTACATATTTGCACCTTATTGTTTTCATTTTTGGGAAGAGAGTATGTAAAAGTACTGTTTCTTCTACTGTTTTTACCATTAGACAGTTCTAAGAATGTATTGTCATTCTTTTCTGGTTCTTCAGCGGGATGATGCTTATTCTTTTTACGAATTCTAGTTCTAGCTTTAGAAACTACTGTAACGTATTTGGATATGAAATCACGTTGGCGGTTGACATCTCCTAATTCCCAATATTCAGTAAATATTTTATGTCTTTCTTCTTCACTCATTTTATTTAGACACTTCATTCTACATTTCTCTTCACATGATGTTTTCATTTTTCTTGCTAATTGTTTCTTTTCTTTCCAGTTGGTGTATTTCTTTCTTTGATTTCTCGATGACTTAATTATGTTTCTTTTCCAAGTATGTTCTCTTCTTAGCTTTTTTTTAGATATTTTTCTAGCATTATTATTATTTTCATCTGTGTTAGAACTTGTATCAGTTTCTTTATAATTGTTTTCTAAATTAAAGTTTTTTTTCTTCTTTTTTTTTGCTTTCTTGTGGATTAAAATTAGTGTCGTTTTCTTCATCATCCGTTTGGAAAGGATCCGTATCCGATGATAAATACAGATCCTCTTCGACAATATTTTTCCGTTTGCCACATTTTTCAGGGTCCAATTGGTCAGTTTCTATTACGTCTAGACCAAAAAGTCTCAGTAAGAAATTTATATCAAAATACTTTTATATTATTTATAAGGATAACTAAATATTGTTTTTGAAAAGCCTCAAACGCCTATTGCTTTTTTAGCGTCAAAACCGGAGCTTTAGATATTATTTTTGAGGATAGAAGTATACACACCTTGTGAAACACTCTTATTATTAGGTCTATTAAAAAATGGGCCACATACATTTATTTGACTGAAACTCAGTATGTTTGGCCAAAAATCATATCCTGAGTGAGATATATACCATGCACTTTGAGTATAATTGCTTGGTTACTGGTAAAGTGTTTTTTCTGGACTAGACCGAAAAGTAGTTGTTCCTATAATAGCCATTTTTTTCCTAAATTAGCCTTAAATTCACTCTACTGAACTCTGCAGCTTTGTCCACAAAAGTAACATTTTCCAGAGTTGATTTTTAATATTACTAATTCTTTTTACACGTTAGTTTGCTTACCTATAATTTTTTCGAGAACACTTCTTACTTCTTCACTAGCATTTGCGTCTCCTTTATCGGCCACAATCGGTATAACTTTATTGGATACAAGACTTAAAACTGATTTTATATTTTCGAGGTTCATACTGCAAAATGCATTATCGCTCTTGTTAAAAGCAGCCGTTTCCTTAGAGAGTAAATAACCAGGCAGCATAAGATTTGCTGTATTCATCAAATATTGGGCATCTATTTTTTCTGGTCTTGAAGATACTTTTAGTTTGTCACGGTTGGTATCTATAAAAAAATAAAGGAAAACATTCAGCACAGAGTTTTATAAGTGTAAATTTTATTATTTGTTTTTTTATTTATACAGTTAAAAAAATAAATGGAATTTATCCTGAACCAGTAGCTAAAAATGTATTTTCAATGTTAATGTGTTACTTAAGAATAATTTTATAGCTAGAAAGGCACTACTTACCATCACAGTGCTTGGCCAGAAGATCAAATATTTTTTCCTTCTACTCATATTTAATTTGTTTACGTTGCGCAAACTCGATCACTTTACACTAAGAACTGCTTTAAACTAAGGTAATCTGCGTTATTCGTGTACGGTCGCGCTTGAAATACCAAGATTTCTAACAAGTCGAAACCAGTACAGTGCAGAACTAGTTTATGTCCAGTAAAAGGTGTGAGGGTTTATTAAAATTAAACTTTATTTTATTGGACATAAAATTTTGTTTTAAAGTAGAACTAGCTTAAGTCCACACAATTCACTAGTATAGGTAATTTGTCCCAACAAAGGATACTTCTGCATTAAAAATTATTTACCGAAATATGGACATAGAATTACTGTTCTACAAAAGGATAGTTCTGCACTAAAAATTATTTTGCTTCAGGACATTATTGTTATTTTCAATTTAATGGGTACGTGAAAAATATAAACGTTAGGACTTAGATTAGTACTGCACTTGATCGGCGACACCTTACTGCATCATATTGTCTAAAATCTCAATTTTGACAAAAAGGAACATAGGCTAGTTCTGATCTAAAGCGACGTAATATATACTGACACCGATTCTCTTATTTAAGTGTTTATAGCATTTTCGAACATTCATATCGTAAAAGTAGCGACAATTCATGAATTCACATGAACTGTCCTGTACTGCGCCACAGCGTTTGCTCGCAATTACATAACAGCATAGTGACAAAGACGAAGCAAGAACAACAGAAGGAAAAAGATTGATCGCTGATCTATCGTCTTTTCAGCATCACTATCCGGGCGAACCTCTGCAACATGTCTCGAACAGTCTGTTTCGTCCTTTTAGCTGGATTGTTTTCCCCACATTTTTCAACACGATACCGCTACGCATGTCGGTCGATACCGTATACCCGGTTATATCTTGTACAAAACGGTCTTCTGCTTGAACGACGATAGAGCAACTTTCTTTGAAAGGTACGTAGAAATAACCGTATATTTATTTCTAAGCATCGCATTCAACGAATGAAAAGATAAATATCAGCTATCTATCTACTTATTTCTGACGTTTCTGTTTTTATATGAGAAATATTCCAAGATGTTATTCTTCGATACATATGTTTAACATAAGAAGTCAGGGAAGTTGATGTATTGAAACTGTATAGTAGTAGTAGTATATCGATTTTAGTGACTTAAGTTAAATGTTTTGATTTGAGTCAGAGCAACAGAATAAATAGAAATATCAATCGTGTTGTTTAATGACATACCTTAACGTAAAAGTGACCGTTGCAAATTTGTGCGCAATTTTTGAAAATTTCTTCATAGAGAATAGACGATCACTTTCTTCTAAAATGGTGACTGTCAAAGCTGATCCTTTTTGTACGTTGAGTTAATTAACAAAACGGTATACTGTTATAACAATCATTTCGTTCAAAAATCTAATCTTTTTCAAATAGAATGTTTCATATTTTGAAGTTGAGTCATCAATTTTCAGATAATGATTGTAGAAGGAAGATAAACCAAAATATGTGTGTAAAAATAAAAAAAAAAAATTAAAAAAAATTTTTACCTTGTTTTATCAAGTATCCTCCCGACAAATATTTCAGTGCGGACCTGTATTTGATCGTGCCGTCTTGGAGCACCGGCATGCCTTCCCCTGTGAGGTCTTAAGTCACCTAATTCACGAGCCCTTTGTACTACATTAAAAAAAGCACGAGGGGTTGGTTGCACTCGATTGGGAAACCGATCCGCATAAATCCGTGATGCCGCGGCAGCATTTTGTAAAGACTTCCCCCCCTCCCGTAAATAAGAATCATGTCCACAAGTTCACCATTTTCGTAAACATGTGCCATTTTTTATTTCGTTTGAGTCACGCAACAAACACCACTATTCACTCACGCGTTACCGACTGACACATTGATTGAATACAACTGAATAAAATTGTAGTAAAAACATCGTGATAAGCGTTTCAAATTCTTTCGCTTTTTTGTTTCCGATGCGATGAACCGCTAAGGCGGATTATATCCTTTGTTGCCAAACACGAGCACATAATATTATTATTGAGACAGGGCGGTGCTCAAACTTCTAAAGGGCTATAGCTTTGTTACTTTAATTTTACCACAAAAATGTTAAAGGAAAAAACATTTCTTTTGATCAGATCTACTCACTGTTAAAATAAATGACTCAACTTCGAAGTCGGATACATCTTCCCAAGAGGGTAAGATTAGTATAACAATTTACAGCAGTTCGATCATTATTTATTGAATTTACGAAGCAGTAGTCATACATCTGGTACTTTGCAGATGCACATCACATTACCGCAAATGGAAATTCATTTCAAAATTAGCCACTATAAATTATCAACAATTCATAATAAACAACTTATTTGGAACACAGCATTTGGGCTTTATTGAGCTGGACGTTTGGGTTTGATATGTTTAGCAAATATTATTCACCGATAGAAGTTATTAATGCGATAGGTAAGCGAACAATGGAATGTATTTATAATTGCAAATATTAGTTCAAATTGAAATTCTAACGGACACGTTTTGACACAAATTTGCAAGCGCTCCCGGCAGTGGCTCGTACTGTAAAATAACAAAATGCGAATGTAAATCAAAAGAGTCATGAGGGAAGACAATTTGAAGCAATAAATATAAAGGGTTGCCCAATAGGGACGCAGGAAAGTAAACGTCAATTTGACATAGACGCCATCTTTGTTTTCTGTCACCGACATGTTATTTTGTTAGTTGAATGTTTACCATTGATCGCTATGGAGTCGTATTCGATTGAAGACCGCATTAAAGTTATTCAAGAGCACTACAAAACTGGTGCAAAAATAAAAAACACGTTTCGCGCGCTTCGTGAACATTTCGGTCGCAACAACCGCCCAAACGAAACAACCATCGGTCGTCTGGTGCGTAAATTCGAGGCAACAGGTTCTGTGGCAAATCTGCCAGGCTCTCGCCAGCCAAGGAGCGTTCGCACACCGGAAAATATTGCTGTTGTGAAGGAGAGTGTGAGAGACGATCCGAAACAATCAACAACGCGGCGATCCCAAGAATTGGGCATTCCGAGAACCAGTTTGCTCCGCATTCTCCACAAGGATTTGAATGTACACGCCTACAAGATCCAATTGACGCAAGAGCTGCGTCGAGCCGACCATTTTTCGCGCCGAACGTTCTCAGATTGGCTCCTTGAACACCGCCAAATTGATGCCAATTTTTCATCAAAAATCATGTTCAGCGACGAAGCGCATTTCACTTTGAATGGGACGGTAAACAAGCAAAACTGCCGCATCTGGTCGAACGAAAATCCCCGTGGGTATCAAGAGCAGCCGATGCATCCTCAAAAAGTGACTGTGTGGTGTGCATTGTGGTCAAAAGGCATCTTTTTCGAAAATGCGGCCGGGGACGCCGTTACCGTCAATTCTGAGCGACATCACGTGATGATAGAGGACTATTTTTTGCCGCAACTTGAAGGAATGGATATGGACGATATTTATTTTCAACAAGACGGTGCAACATGCCACACAACCAACGTCAATATCCATCGATTGCAGTCCTTCTTCGGTGATGGCGTGATTTCGCGCAGAGGAAATGTGCCATGGCCACCAAGATCGTGCGATTTGACTCCCTTGGACTTCTTTTTATGGGGATATTTGAAAAGCAAAGTCTACGTCAACAGACCAGTCACCCTCCAATAACTCAAAAACAACATCATTGCCGAGATAACTGCCATAGAACCGACCATGTTGCAAAATGTCATTGAAAATTTCGACCATCGCGTGGACGTCTGTAAATCCAGTCGTTGTGAACATTTGAGCGATATTATTTTTCATACATAAATCGTATAAATGAACCTTCAAAATAAAGTACCCAACTTGATTTGAATATCAATCTTTCTTGTTTTAATATGCGTTTTGGACAATCCCATATAAAAGAAAAAACCAGGTGGATCTTCGGACAGCAAGATAACAGCTAGCGGAGCATTTTTTAAAATTAAGTGTGTGGTCGTATGTCATTTTAAAGCTCTTTATAGATCTGGAATATACAGTCACATGTTCCAAAAGCTAACTGACAGGTTTTAAAAGTCAGGCGTGTCTGGACATTCAAATGCATATAACTCAACAACCAACCATCAAAACGCTATAGCTTGTTATATCTTTTTCTCTTGGCAGATATGTAATAAAATATAGAAAGAGCCATTTAAAGACAATCGTAAAATTCTATCAGTGTTGTTGAATGAAATTTTGCACACCCAAATAAAGGGTGTTCAGATAGGGACGCTCGATGTTTGAACGGCGCGCGCGCCCAAACCGGTGGGGATACAGCTGTCAAATTTTGTGAGGTTATTAAGTTAGTCTTGACATTTAATCATGGAGCAGTACACGATTCAACAACGCGTGGAAATTGTGAAAATTTATCTTCAAAACAGATGTTCGGTTCGTGAAACGTTCCGCGCTTTGCGTCCAATTTATGGTGCGCATGGCCGTCCTGCTGAGTCCACTATTCGACGTCTGCTCAATAAATTTGAGAGAACTGGCTCAGTGGCAGACCAAACAACACCCGTACGGCTGCTGCTGTGCGAGAGAGCGTGCGTCAAGACCCGAATCAGTCATTGCGGCGACGTGCACAAGAACTTGCCCTTCCAAAGACCTCAACATGGACAATTATGCGTCGAGACTTGAAATTGCACGCGTACAAAATTCAATTGACGCAAGAATTGAAACCGCAAGACCATGGACAGCGCCGTACATTTGCCGCATGGGCTCTAGAGCAGTTGCAAGTCGACCCTGCATTTGCACGAAAAATCATCTTCAGCGACGAGGCGCATTTCTGGATGAATGGGTATGTCAATAAACAGAATTGCCGTATATGGGCTGACCAAAATCCTGAAGTGACTTGCTCAATTGCTATGCATCCTGCTAAAGTGACTGTATGGTGCGGTTTCTTCTTCTTTTTGAGGACGCTATGGGCAACGCGCTTACGGTCAATGGAGATCGGTATCGCGCCATGATTAATAATTTCCTGTGGCCTCAACTGGACGATATGGATCTAACAGACATCTGGTTCCAGCAGACGGCGCTACGTGTCACACCGCACGCGCAACGCTGGATTTACTGCATGAAAAGTTCAACGGTTTCATTATTTCGCGCGGCGGCGATGTGCACTGGCCACCAAGATCGTGCGATATAACGCCTTTAGACTTTTTCCTGTGGGGCTACGTGAAGTCTCAAGTGTATGCGGATAAGCCACAAACAATTGCAGCATTAAGGGCCAACATCATTCGCGTCCTCGGACAGGTAGACGCTGAAATGTGCGGAAAAGTGCTCGGAAATTGG